GCCTCCCCTCCGGGAGCGCCTCAGCACTTACAGAGGGGAAACTCCCGGGAAAAGCGCAGGAAGAGAGCGAGGGAAGGCACAGCTCCGGCTGCTCCCGGCCGGAGGAAGGACGGGATGAAGGCAAGCGGGGAGGGGACGCGCCGGGAGAAATGTCTCACTCCCAAAAGCTGCCGTCAGGCTAATTACCATCGGCAAAAACCAGCATTTGCAGAAGGAGCAGAGAATGAGCACACAAGTGTCTGTGTGTCTGTGTGTCTCTGTGTCCCCGCGTGTCCCCAGCCCGCTGAGCCCTCGCTGCTTTTCCCTCCCCGTCTCCCGGCACAGCCGGGCCATTGTCTCTGCCCGCAGCAGCAGGCGACAAAACATCTCCCGTCCCCGCTGTCGAGGGATGAGGGATTTTTTTCCACCCTGCTTTTGATGGGGGGTCCTAAAGCGCTGTGGATTTACGGACACCCGCGTTTGTAGGTTGCCGTGGGAGAGAAGAGCTGGGGGAGAGGTTGGATGGGACTTGGCCGCGGGCAGGGTGGATCCTAACTTGGGGATGCGCTCCAGGGCATTTTGTAACGCGTAGCCTCACCAAAAAAAAAAAAAAAAAAAAAAAAAAATTTAAAAAATTGTTGTCTTTTTTTTTTTTTAAGGCCTTAAACCCTCTAGATTTATGTTAAAAATATTTCTCTCTCTCTTCTTTCCGATGTATAATTAACAACACGATGGTAGAGGCGTCTCAGCCACTTAAACTGAATCCGTTCTGAAAACAAAAGTGTGTGTGTGTGTGTGTGTGTGTGTGTGTGTGCGCGCGTGCAGGAGGGGCAGCTCTGGGAAGTGTGAGTCTATTTAGGAAGGAACGTAAGTTGAACTTTAACAGAAATGGCAGACAGTCCAGTTGAACGGGTTCCTGCAACATCAAAAAGGTTTTATATCGCCCCTGGCTTTGCCTCAAAACTATAAATTTACTATCCTTTAAAATTCGCTCCATGCATTTCTCATGCATTTCGCACAGATCTATGTACGTATATATTTTTTTTTTCATATCAGGCGGTAGAAAGATGATTCAGGCAAAAAAAATAGTGGAGCCCAACAATGCAGATTCAAGTATTTATTTGGCTATTGAGAATAAATATGATCTGTAACACGCATCAGAAAGGCTTAATCTTCACTGTAAATAGACATATGTTACAGTGACTGCACATTTCTTCTTCCATTTCTTTAAAAATTACCAAAAAAAAAAAAAAAAAGAAAAACCTCTTTTTTCTTCATTATTACCTTAAAAACCCCAACACCAAACTGCAAGAACAAAAGCACCAAAGGCAATCAATTCCTAGTATTAGGAATAGTATAATTAAATATATATTAAAACGAAAAGGAAATATACTTTTCTCCTCCTCCTCTTCTTCTTCTTCTTCTTCTTCTTCTTCTTCTTCTTCTTCTCCTCCGCCTCAAGCATTGCTTCATTTCGCTTCCTTGCTCCAGCTCAGCAGTCTCCACTTTCAGCATCTTCCTCCGCTCGAGTTAATTGAAGTTCTGCCTCTTCCTCGCTAAACTTTTTCCCCCCTCTCCCTCTCCCCAAACTCTGCCTCTGCCAGCCCCCCTCGTCTGATTACATCTAGTAATTCTCCACTGAATGAACGTCATTTACAATAGTAGGGGAGCTCTCGAGCTGGCTGCCAGCTTCACGCTCCATTTGGTCCTGCATTCTCCCTTTAAAGTAGTCGTGTAATATTAATAGTCATGAATATCAATTATTATGAGGCGGTGTAGAGAAGGAAAGGGAGGAAGGGGTAGCGGAGCAGTCTGAGCCTAGCCTTGGGTTGAAGAGGATTGTATTTGGGAGCTCAAAGGCAAAAAAAGAAAAAAAAACAACAAAAAACCAAAACCAACAAAAACCAAAAAAAAAAAAAAGGAGGAAAAAAAACCCGAGAGGGAGGGGTAAATCATATATGTAGATAGAGGTTTCCAGGCTCGGTTTTGGGGGCACTGGTCTTTTTTTTTTTTCTTTTTTTTTTTAAACCTTTTTTTTTTTTGATGGATAGACTTCGAAATATCTCAAGCTGTTCTCCTGTGTCCAACACGTCCCTTTGCAGATCTCCTTGATATTTTTCCCTCCAATTGTTAGTATTATCATCATTATTTTATTTTTAGCTATTACAAGACTTTTTTTATTTCCAGATGTTAGTCCACACCTATTCCGCCATGGTGAGTTTGGATCCATGTTGTACTAGAATTGCATGTTCTCTCTCTCTCTCTCTCGATCTGTTGTGTCTCTCTCTCCCTCTCTCTGTCTTTTTAAACGCCTTTGGCTTGGTAATTTAGCACAATAATTGGAGGAGGCTTGCAGCTGCTTCTCCCTTTTTGCATTGTGTGTTCCCGATTTGAGCTAGGGGAGTCTGGGGGGGAGAGCAGGGGGAAAAAGAACTTTTTTTCCTTGTTGTTTTTCTTTTTTTTTTTTTTTTTTTTAAGCCATGTGTGCCATTGCTTGTGGGGGTTTGAACGACACTTTGTGGAATAGATATTTTTCTTGTTTACTTTAACCTCACAGCTTCAGTGCGTTGGAGTTGGACAAAACTCCTCTCCCACCTTTTCTCTGAAGCCTGGACACGCTCCCCCCACCCCCTGTCCCCCCCACACACCCCAAAGACTTTTCATTACAATTAACCCCCACCCCATTCTCCGGAATATAATATTGGAAAAGGAAACAAAAGACACTGGAAGTTGCTGCAGAAATCATAGCGTCTGGATATGTTCAATACCGATGTTTCATTTTTATTTTATTTGATTTTTTAAAAATTATTTTAAAGGGGTAGACTCCCTTTAAGCAAAGATTCCCTGTAATTTTTATTTTGGCTTTCTTTTTTATTTTTTTTTCTTTTCCTTTTTAATTTTTTTTCCTTTTTCCCAAGTCCATTTTCACACAACTTTTCCCCTCGGAGTTTTCCGAGAAGTGCAACTTTCTTTTTGGGCTTTTCCACGTGAAAATGGGTTGGTGATTTTGAGTTACAGGACTTGAGCAGAGGGAATAAACAGATGTTGGGAAACTTTAGGCAGGAGAAGGGGTGGGTTGTCTGGATAGAAGGGTGGTTTGGTGCTCTTAATTTTTTAATGTTCTCTTTTTTCCCCTTTGGTTTGATTTGAGGGGGCTGTGGATTGGGAATTATACTACTGGTCTGAAATCGCAGATCGTACATGTATTGGGAGCACTACTCCTACATTTTTAATTATGACATTTAGCAATTCTCCCTCACACCCCCTCCCCTTCCCCCTCCTTGATAGTTCCTGGGAATAGACACGACGTGGGTGCAAAACATTGGAATATTTCTAATAAGTGGAGGGAGAAGGGGGCACATCTGAATCCCACTTTCCAGCTGTTTACATCCTATTTTACTTTATTTAACTCCGGGGGTGGGTTTGTGCTCCTTTTGATTTTTAGTGGGTTTTTTTTTTTGTTGTTGTTGTTGTTGGTTTTGGTTTTGGGGTGGTTTTTTTTCTAAAAAAAGTCCTCTTTTTTTGTTGTTGTTGTTTGTATGTCGTTCCGCCCGTAGGACCGGCATGATGGAGTGCCCAGCCACAGTTCCAGGCTGTCCCAGCTGGGATCCGTCTCGCAGGGACCCTACTCCAGCGCTCCTCCGCTCTCTCACACCCCATCCTCGGATTTCCAGCCGCCTTATTTCCCACCCCCCTACCAGCCTCTTCCTTACCACCAAAGCCAGGACCCTTACTCCCATGTCAATGACCCCTACTCCCTAAACCCCTTGCATCAGCCCCAGCAGCACCCCTGGGGACAGAGGCAGAGGCAAGAGGTGGGATCAGAGACCGGGTCACTGCTGCCACAGCCTCGGGCCGCCCTGCCCCAGCTCTCGGGACTGGACCCCAGGCGGGACTACCACTCAGTTCGGAGGCCAGATGTCCTCCTGCACTCAGCTCACCATGGCCTTGACTCCGGCATGGGGGACAGCCTTTCTCTGCATGGCATCGGACACCCAGGCATGGAGGAGGTGCAGGTAAGGCACCGCGTTTCTTTCTCCTGTAGCTCCCTGGGCTGGGAATGGTCATGAGGGCTTTCCAGCAATATTGCTGTGGGTTGCCAATCTTTTTCCCCACCGGTTTGTAACTCCCTCTCCGTCTTCCTCTATTTTTCTCTTTTTTTTTTTTTTTTTTAATAAGAGAATTTATTTCCTCGCTGTCACGCACAGGCTCTGCTTTATAAACCCTCCCCTACATGGCGAGGCAGCAAAGCAGGGGGAAGGCAGACATGCTGCTAGAAATATTCCACGTGTTTCAAAAGCTGGCAGAGTTCAGGCTTGGCTTTTCGAATTCCAGTTATTTCCCATGCAATCTCATCTTCCACTCCCCTCCGCCCTCCCCCTCCTCCCCCCAACCAATTTCCTGCCGTTCAGAGATTTTGATGAAACTGTCGAATTACTACATTTTTCATCCGGGAGGGATGGAAATTATAAACAAAACCCAAATCAAAAGCAATAACTGGTGATCAGGAACAAGTCCCTTGAACATCCCTCCCACCCCCTTATCTGTTAAGTGTGCTTGGTGAGGTAGCGCTGATTTTAAATAGTTTCATTCCCTCTTTTGGATAACAAAGGAGTTTCGCCGGGCTCAAAGCGCAGTATTTCCCAGCTTCCTTCCATCCCACGCGAAACTCTTCATCACGTGTTATTCCCTAAAAACAGAAGGACCCTTAACAGCTTCGCTGCTGGGGCGGTCTGCACCTTGCTGGAACAGGGCATGGCCAGTCCGTGGGGACCCCCGAGCCTGGGGCTGGAGCCTCCAGGGTCCAAATCCTGCCTTAAGCTCTCCTAATCGGGATTTTGGGGGTTTTCCTCCATGCGTTTTTATATTTTTTCCCCCCAAATTTCTTTATCATATATCATATCTGTGTATGAATTTAGTCTTAGGATAGATAAAGGTATGGAGCACTGAATGAAATAACGACTTCGAAGTTACAGAAAGGGGAAAAGAGGAGCTGGGAAGATAAAAAATAGCCGTGAAAAAGGGATACTGCAGAACATGAGAGGAATGAGCGGCAGGGAAGCGAAGGGGATGCATTGCTTTGGCTTGAGGCTTGTCTTAGGGCTGCCGGGGAAAATCCCCGAGCTTTGCTGGGGAGAAATGTTTTAGAAAAAGAGAAAGGTTTTGCTATTTGGATCTGCTCCTGCCTCCGAGCTCAGTGACCGTCGGGTCGCTGCTTTCTGCGGGTTTTCGAGGTGGCTTTGAGACCTGGGGGCAGCCCCCGGGTGCGATGCGCAGGTCTTGTCTCGCATTCCTGGCTCAGACAAAGTGCTTTGCAAGTCAAGACGAGTTTTACCTCTGTGAATGCAGAAAGCAGATCGTTCTCCTCCTTTCTCTCTGCAGCCGATAGGCGTTAGGGACTGCTTGTGCCTGGATATTTACACTTTCCCCAAAGAATAGACGGTAATTGTTGTGCTTTTGTGAGAAAGAGTGTAAAACAGAGGAGAGAGGAGGAAAGGAAAGATAAAATGAAAAGAAAAAGATAAAATGCAGAAAGGACGAAAGGAGAGGGGGAAAGAAGAGAAAATAAGAAAAGGAAAGGAGGGGAAAAGATAGGGAAAGAAAGACATAGAGAAGGGAGATAAGAAATAATAGGAAAGAAGGAGCTCAAATAAAGCAGTTCTCCATCCATTTCCCAATAAAACATCCCTTCTGGGGGAAGGGCACTGCACTGGAGGGAAGTGCCTCCCCTCGATGCTCTGGGGGCATCGTGGCCACCCGCGGCTGCTGCCCGGGGCTGGCGGGGCCAGGGTGGGTGAGGTGGGACAGGGATGGGACAGGGATAGGATGGGATAGGATGCGACAGGGGAAGCTGCAGGGCCGGGGTTTGGGTTTGGGGTATTGAGACAGCAGGAAATTAAACAGGCCCCTTATTTCTGAAAGTTTGTTCCCAGGCTGGGGGAGGAGGGGAAGAGGGAGAGGAGGGTATCCCAAGGAGAAACACGTGAAGGGAGAGGTGTCTAACTGCAAGTTAACGCTGGCAGGAGGGAAAGCAGCCCAAAACTCGCTGCTGCCACTCAGCATTTTCTATTCTTGTCCCTCCACTAGTGACAGATGAAGTTGGGCAGTTTTCCATCTTGATATTTGGCATGGATTTATTCTAGATTCGTGGAACCTTTTCTAGCAACAGGAATTTTCATTCAGGCGATGTATACACATTATCCACCATCACTAGATAAAATTTTCAGGAAGGGTTTCAAATACTGGTTTGTTTTTTTTCTTATTTCAGTTATCCAAAAAGTTGAACGGATATCTAGATATACAGTTGGATAAAGATGTTTCTCTTTGCTGTAGCTTATGCATGTCTGATCAAATATGTGCCATGAGAATGGGCTGGGCTGAGGAGAAGGAGACAGAGAAAGAGAGTGCGTGACAGAAAGAAGCAGTGGTTATTTTATAAACACCAAATCCAGTCCATGTGTGAGCCATTGTCCAGGGCTAGAATTAAGTGATTGTAACACGATAGCGCTCTGTTATTGTAAACAGGACACACTGTATTGCTATTGCTGCCCCTCTCGAGAGGAATTTTCAATCCGCGATTTACAGCCTTCAGACAGGGAACAGAGAAACCAAGACCTCCTTATTGAACAAAAATTTGCATCTTCTAATAGGGACTCTGAAAAAAAAAATCCACCTTTTCACTCCCAGATATTTTTCTCACCGGCTGGGTTAAAGTAGGATTACAGTAATAAAGGGTTCGATGGAGGAAAAATGGAGGGGGAAATTCAGACTCTTTGAAGGAAAATATGGAGCTCAGTTTTTAAGGTTTTCGCTCAGATGTATCCACAGAAGTTGAATAAAGTGGTTATAGGTAGAACTTAGGAAGCTTCACGCTATCAGATTATTGGAGGAGGGAAGGGAGGGGAATCTTCCTCTCCAGATTTTCCAAGTATATCTGGAAACTCATCACCTTTCCCCTCCCTGCACACACACCTCCGCTCCTCCTCCTCCTCACTCACGCTGCTGCTACGCACTAGCTAGAGACACGGAAAGTTAAGTTGCACCAAAACACCCAAGTCTCTTATAAAGTAACCCCTGGTATCACTTTTAACTAAAGAAGTCTAGTAATTAAAAGTCTGAGTTGTTTTTCCACGTTTCCGCATGCAGTCCTAATTAAATCTTTACGATCCTCTCTGTGACTATTAACTGCCAGCATGCTGAGCGAATATCCTGTACAAAAACCCAGCAGGAGGGCGTAATTAGATAGAAAATCAGACAGGAGTCTTCTCATTAACTACAACAACTAACCCACGTTGCTGATGGAGCGAGCTGAGTGCACGCACACGCATAAAGGGTGCGCGCAACCAGAGATAAGGTGAGATAAGGAGGAAAGATGGGGGAAAAAAGAAAAAAAAAAAAAGAAAAAAGGAAAAGGTGATGTTTCACGTTTACCTCGGTTTCTGTGCCATCGAGGTGCGCCACGCTGCACTCCAGCAGGCTGCAAGATTTGCTCATCTTCCCTCGTTGGGAGCTGCTCAGGGAAAGGAGGGAAGACTTTGTAATTTTATTTTGTGCCCTTTAGGTATGTAGCCTATTGATTATGAGAGAGAGAGAGAGAGAGAGACACAGCCATGCCCAAACACAGCACATAAGGCACCGCTCTGTGTGTGCGCTCGTTTGAGGGTGGATTCAAGGAAAATGAAGGGAAAGCTCTCATAGAAAATATTGTTCCATCGTGTTTTGGGGAGATGTAATTTTCTCCTGAACCACATTCCATCTGGAATGTCTCCGCTGAGCACAGAGACGGAGATAAGGGCCGGATCCGAATAAGCTCAGCTTCTCGGCATAGCAAAGATAAAGTTAAAATCATGGTGAAGTAAATCATTGCTTTGCTGGAAAGGTGCTTCGCTTGTCAAGGAAAAACGTGACAACTCCCCAGATACACAAAAACACTGAAAAACCCAAACTCTTTAGTAATAGTAATGGGGAAAATAAAATAATAAAGCCAAGAAACCCAAAGGTCTCCCTTTACCTCAGAATTTACCCTGAAACGGAACCTGTCAGAATTCTGCTATTAATTGTTCTTACGACACCTCTTCTTTTTCGGACATGGTTTTACTGTGCCGAACACAGACTCAGCAGTAATTTTGGTTTGTTTGGGGGGGTTTTGTATATGCCGCTTTCATTTTGAGAAATGAAACCAAATATTTGCTGTGCCCTCTGTGCCCGTCTTTGTTCTCTTCCCTGCTAAATAAGTTAATGCCATAATAACAGGTGTGCTCCTCGACAGGCTGGAAAGAAAGGGGGGAAAAATGGGAAAAGAAGGCTTTGAAATTCGGAGACTTTTTTTTTCCTGGGCAATCAATTTGATGGTTCATACTTTTGATAATGTGTATTCCTGCTCCTCCCTCCCCGTCCCCACTAATTCAGGACATGGAAGCAACCTCGGGAGCTGTAAATCTCTCTCTGCTCGTCCCCTGTACGATGTGGGCGTTGCACAGCGCTCCGAAAGGCTCAGACTTTAATTAAAAGTCCATAATGTAAACTATGATATATAAAAAGTAAATGGCCCTTGAATTAGTAAGATGTAGCAGGGTTAAACAAACAAACAAAAAAAAAAAAAACAAAAAAAGAAAAAGGAAAAGGAGGAGGGGGAGGAAAGGGGAGGGAGCATTTAAGTTGTCCTTAATCGTGTTCATTTATGTCATGCAATAGATCTTGCAGATGTTGCCAAATTGCCACATTTTCAAAGGAAGAAATATAAAGCTTTATGGAATGCAAAGAAGTCTATGTGATATCTATGTTTTATAAGATAACAAAACCAGTATTGCACCCCATATGCTTCACACCTCCTTTTGTTTTATTAGAAGACTATATAATTTGTAAGAATTTAATTTCCTTGTCGATTGGGGAAAATAATAATAACAATAATAATAATAATAATAGTAACAACAATAAAAAAATCCCTCCTCCCCCAGTGAATTAATATAAATGGAAATAACAGGGACTCCATTTTGGAATGACATGATTTATGTACGTGATTCTTTAATATCCAGTCAATTTGAATAGTGATGTTTTTATATCCACAGTCAGTTGAAGATGCCAATAACAGCGGTATGAACTTATTGGACCAGTCTGTCATTAAAAAAGGTATGGATTATTCCAACAAGCTAGACAAACTTTTTACTGTGTAGCGATATCTTCATGATATATTTTGACTTTGGGGCAATGAATTTCTCCGGGAAGCAGGCGCCCGTGGCAGCAAGATGAATAGTTGATTGGATCAGCAGATAGAGTGAAGGGATAAGACATGAGAAAGGAAAAGTTTATATCCCCTCCTCCCCCGCCCTTCGAAGGGTTTAATTACACGAATCCTCTCTAATGGGGCACCCCGTGCTCCAACACCGCCTCCCTTCCCTCCCCTTCTCCCCCCGATTCTCTTCGGTGGGGACCCCTTGGCTTTTAATGGGGTTGATTCCCTTTGGGGCTTCAATGCATTTCCCAGGCGAATCAAACGAGGAGAGGTGAGAAAGAGATGCCCATGGAAAGGCAGACTCAGCCCTCCAAGGTTCCCCCTTCCCCCAAGATTCCCCCCTTCCCCGTGCCCATTTTTTACTTCTTCCTGCATATGCGCCCATGATTTAGTGCAACTGCAGAATCACCCCATACTGTTAAAGCGAATGTGATATTAACAAATGTTTGCAGTCTCTTGTACAGCTGTAAGCAAAATAATTAACTAATTAAACTAATTAAATGTAATTACAATAACTCATTTTGGGCGTATTGCAGCTGCTTAATTTTTTTACATTTCTCTGACAGTCACTCGGAGATGCTTGGCGATTAGTGTTGTGTTATGCTGATAGACATTAAACAGATCACACGCTGCAAATGGAGGGAAAGCTATCTTTAATTATCTAAGGAGTTTCTATTTCTAGATTCAATTTTAAGTATCAGAGATGAGGTTTAAAAACGCTGTCCCTTATGCTTACTATCAACGGCGCTTATCTCCAGGACCTTGTTATTTGTCAAATGCGCACAAATAGTTTAACAGCGACGATTTTCTAGGATGTAAAGCAAAATAACAGGGAGGGTGTTTATGTAAAATGTGTTGAAGGCAGCATGAGGTCTTTCCGTGTATTTATTGTTTGTTTTGTTGTCGGTTGTTTGGGGTTTTTTTTGTTGTTGTATTTTTTTTTTTTTTAAATTTAAATACCCATGTACCGTCTCTCTTTCACACACAAGATCAAGGTCTGGTTATTTGAGTAAGGACTAATGAAAACTTGAAGACCATTTGACAGCACCATTTATGACTATTGCTTGGAAGGTCGAAGGGTTTGGTGGGTTTTTTTTTTTAAGAAATTGAACGTTACTTAACTTTAAAAAGAAAAGAAACCCAAAAGGGTTGTATGTTTCTGCTGTTTTGGTTCAGTTTGAATGTTTCGTGGTGTTTATACTCAAGGTCTGTAAACTGACGGTTTCTGCTTGCATTTTTAACTTTTTTTTTTCTCACTCTCCTCCCTCTTCCCCACCCCCACTTGACACCTCATACACTCCCTCTTGGGTGCGTTTGATTAATTGGCACTTGATTTGTGGTCGAGAGGCTCCTTCTAAGGTTGTTCCATGATGGTCTTTCGCAGAATACACAATCCAAAACACTCTTTTTTTTTTTTCTTTTTTCTTTTTTTTTATTCTTTCCCTTTAACACACAGCCCGCCTGTGTCTCCCTCCTTTAGCTGACGAGGACAGCGCAGATATTCCCGTGTGCGTGCTGGGTGGTGCAATTAGACAGCGAGTGGCACTAGAATGTCAATGCCTGCAATTATTACGTATTAGGCAGAGGTTTTTATGCGCATTAGGCATATATTTGGGTGTGCTTCGTGTGTGTGGGCATTGCAGATGGAGCAGCTGCTGCCCGAAGAGACCCAGTCCCATCTAGGTGGGATTACTTGTGCCTATTTGCAGCCAGAAGAGATACCCTGAGTTAACACATGATGAACAGGAGACACATGCTCTTTGGAAATAAGGTTACTAAGAAAGAGCCCGAGATGCATTTGCGACTCTTTAAAAGTCACTGCAGCAGCATTTTCTTCCTTAGAAGTAAGGCTGAGATCCAAGAAACTTTCCAGCATAAAGGAATATTGTATTATTTCTTCATTCCTTTTCTTTTTTTTTTTAATTTTTGGGGTTTTTGCACAGCGAGTTTCCTGGGTGCAGAGGAAGAGAAATGGGTAATAAATAGCAGGTCACATTCGTGGCAGTCAATATTTAATCAGGACGAGGGAAGGAGCAGCACAGCGTTCAGTATCAATTTCGCTTTGTTCCCTGCAGTTTGTGGCTGTGAGGGTGTACTTTGAAACAAGAACAAGTTATTTAAACTCTGTCAGTCGTTCTTGAAGGCAGATGGCATGGATAGATAGACAGACAGACACGCAGGTACTGACAGATTTTTGTGCAGTGGAGCACTCCTGGGGCTCATATTCTGTACAAGAGAGTTGCAGTGGGTCTGCTCCACCCAATCCCAGCTCAGTGCCTAAAATTCTTTCATTGCAAAGCAGTGGGAAAAGTATGATGAGGATTTAAAGCCTAAACTCTAATTATATCACCCAGGCTGTGTCTGTTTCTTTATGGCCTCAGAGGCCTGCAGAGGGAATTATCTCTCTATGCAAAAGCTTTGCCAAAATATTAAGGAAATTATATCGGGATTCATACACGGCTATTGATTGATCTCACGTATTGATCCCACACAACAGCTTACATATACCCAGGCTCTTGTTATGTTTGCTACCCGAGCTTACTTGACATTTCTGAAGTAATTTAGTTAAGAGGAAATGAGTTGTTCCCAGTAGAGAGAGCAAACGAGTGGAGTGAAGGTAGCCAGCGTGATAAATGGCTCTTTCATTTGGAGATCTCCAGAGCTCGTTTAAGGCTAATTTTCTGTATTAGCCCCCTTTGAGCTATTAATGCAATAGGCAGGGACCGTGGCCCCTTGTCTCTTAGCTGCCCCATTAGAGCGAGCATTAAGCTACCAAGCCTGAACTCCACCGTGGTGGTGGTGGCGCTGAAATAATGAAAGGTGCTTTTTAAACTCCCCTAATCTAAGCTGGCAGAGGGTGGTTAATACGATTTGAAGGGGGCTGGTCAATGAACAATCAATAAACTAATAATGAGAAGGATGCGGTACATTAACAGCCTAAAAATCCAACGAGACATTAAAAAATCATCTCTAACTCCCACTTCCATTAAGGTTTGGGTGGTGGAAGTGGGAGGGAGGGAACCAGATAAATCATCAAGATGATAATAATCACCAAGAACATTAATATCAGATTCAACTCAGCTTTCAGAGCTTACCGGCTGCACGTTTTGAGGCCTTTCTCTTGATTTTTGCTGAAATGAAGAGAAGTTTTGCCATGTGTCAGGAATAAAAGATCGGGTCCCCTTGTCAAATGCTTATCTGAAATTTCCTTGGCACTCTCTATGGTGAAAGAAGTTGTCTTCCTGCAAAACCTTACATGGCCTGAGTCCCAAGTTAATTTTTTGTGACTCTGGGGCACAGTCAGTGACCTTAAAATTATTCTGATGTATTTATTTACTTTCAGCTGTTTCTGACGATCGCCTGCACACTCACATCTGATTTAGCATGAAAGGCCATTTTAACTTGAAGCCCTTAATTCATGGTCTTGCAAACACGCTCCCGTTGTTCCTCCTATTTTAAGGAAACACACGAAAGAAGGTGTCTTAACCTTTTGATTTTGGCTGTTAATAATCCAGCACGAGTTTCCTGCCCACCCCTCGGAGCAGCTGATCAATGATTAACTGAGAACCGCTCTGGCCTCGGTTTTCAGGTGATGGATGTGGGGCTCAGGAGATGCTGCTTCAGTTTCGTGCTCATTCCCGGGTTACCCACTGAACCTGAGGATCCCCTTTAATTAAATGCAAAACAGTTCAGAGGGAATACATTCCACCTTGGAATTCAGCTTTCGGTGGGGTAGAGGGGCTGGAGGCGAGCAGGGGGCGAGGGGCACAGGAGGAAATGAGAGATGAACGCGCACTTTTTGTTTTTTTTTGTCTTAATTTCTCTTAAAATTAAGATAAGATCCGGGACTCTTCAGTTTCAGCTGCTCTCGGACGTTTTAGGTTTGGCTTCTGAGTCAGACCGAATCACCACCTACAGCAAAGTCCTGTTGTTAGCATGGACAAAGAACTTCTTACTCATTTAAAGCCTGGGCAGAGTGAAAATTTTGAAAGTAGCTTGATAGTTTATTAGTAATTAAGTTGCTCATGGCGTTTTTTAGTAAAAAACACGAGAAATATTTCTCCTGATTGATAATTTAACTGACTGTTCGACTACGATATTATTCAGCTGGGTTATTGCAATGATAGCCATAGTTTAAACCCTTATTGAACAGCTGTTTGCAGGATATAAGTCTATTATCTCTTTAGTTTTACTGTCGTCAAAACAGCTTTTTTTCACCCCATCTCCACTTTGTGAGCATTTTCACACTTTTGTAGAGAGCAGCCCAACAGAAAACCACCACCACCAAAAAAAAAAAAAAAAAAAAAAAAAAAAAAAAAAAAAAAAAAGCCTAAGACTTAATGTATGCACAGAAAANAGAAAAAGCCTAAGACTTAATGTATGCACAGAAAATTGTAAACATGTAAAGAACTGAAAGCTTCACGCTGAGTTTCGCCATGCTCCATTTCCCCACCATTTCCTGCTGTCGTTCTAAAGCGATCTCACTCATCTAGAGATCCCGTTTGCAGGAACAGTATGCTTATAATTACTAACAAATCAAGCGGCTACTGTTGCTCTCCCGGTTTATTGATAAGCTGAAGAGAAATGGAAGGGGGAGAAATGACAAAGAGGCTGGAAGTAACTACAGGAGGAGAGAAAGGAAAAAAAGAGGGAAGAAAAAAGATAAAGGGATGCAAAAGAAGAGGGGGAAGAAAGAGACAATGCAGGTAAATAAGGAAAGATAAAAGAAAGGAGAAAGCAGAGATTTTGAAGGGGGAATAATGTATTTGTGAGTGCTCACACACACGCAGCAAGTAGAGTTTGGGAGTGAAAGAAAATCGAACAGTTTCTGCTGGGGATGACAAGAACTAAATGGGATGAAGTGAAAGCAGGAGCGGTGGGGACGCTGCGTGGATACTTGTGTGTTATTTTCTGTGTCATTTCAGCAGTTGTGGCAGTCCCTGACCAACTGGGGAAGTTGACATTGGCTAAAAATACACCCTGCATTCGGGTTTATTTACATAGGCGCGGGGATTTGACACAGGCAGCCGCACGCACGGACGTGGAGATCTCCTCACCCACCAAAGCTCCACGTTCTGTTATCTCTGCTGATGTCTGGGCTGTGCCTGAAAAGCTCCAGCCATGATAAACATATAGATATGATATAGATAGAGATAATTCATTCCGTGGCAAACACTTTTTTTGAGGCGGCATTAGGTAATTTACAGAAGATATAGAGCCTAGATAGAATAGATCTCTGCGAAGCTATGAAATTGCGATAGATATGCTTACACCGCCTGGCAAGCCTCTCAGATGGGTTCAGAGCTATCAGGCTCCAGCTGATGGGTTTGTTCATCCCGTCCTTTTCAGGGAAACACTGCTAGGAAAAGACGCTGAGGAGCTCTCAGCATAGCAGGGAAGGGAGCCAGCCTGCTTCCCAAAAGCAATTTGCAAGGAGGGGGAAAAAAACCCCACCGAGCACGTGAAAATCCATAATTCAAAGGTTAACTAATGTAATGAGTGCTCCAAAAGGCCAAAGCGAGAGGGGTGAGGTACATTTAAGCATTGCACGGGTCCTTCTCTCTTTAGTGAGTTTGGACTAAGATCAGATGTTCGTGGAATTGCTGCCTCTTGTTTAATTTCTCAGTTCACTGGACAGTGACCTGATAAACTGGTCACTAAATATAGCCACGGTAAAGGTGTACTCGAACCACAGAGCCGGTGTGTTTGTCCCAAGAAAAAAAAATGCCAGTCATGAAAATCTGTCTGGTGGCACTGCTTTTATCCATCTTTTCTTTTTTTAATTTCTATTTTTCTACCTGATGTTTCACTCAGACAGATCATTGTGCATGAAATAAGAGATATATTCACATATATTGAGGGGGGAAATGCAAATACAAGTTTTTGGTCTGCTGGTACTGCCTCTGCTATACAAACGAGTCTTTTCCTATAGAATCAATGGCAAAAAAATCCTAATAATATCAACGAAAGCAGGAGCAGGCCTCTAACTCCTTTATGACTATTTCTGAGCCATTCTCAAACTATTTGAAACCACCTTTATGAGCTGCATAAAGTGCCTAACTAAAAATAATAGAGAAATAGGAATCCATTTCACTTTCCGATTCCCTGAAGTCAAGCCACTCAAAATAATTTGTTTATACTGGAGACTATATACAAGGCATTCGAAGCAATATGTATATCTAAAATCGACATGCCTTTTGGTTTTTAGCTGTTATAGAGCTTTTATTGTGGGGGTCTGGTCTGGCAGTAGGAAATGATCTGCAATAAAAACAGTGAAACACGGTTGTGTCTATTCCATGCACTGAGGTTATAAAATTGGCAATTGCCCAGTAGTTAGCACTTGGTAATATATTAGGATACCCGATCTTATTGTTTAGCAGCTCCAGACGACTTAAATATCCGCTCAACCCTAATGGTTTGATTCTCCAGATATGTTGCAAATAAACAGGGCTTTTATGACTTAACTGACATGTATTATAACTACCTAAATAGCTGGCATATGTGCATAATAGAACCTTATTATTTGCCGAATTGGTTTTGCAATTGATTGAGTGGAAAGGGGAGATTGTGGAGCAGTATCTGCTTGAAGAGGGTGTGTAATCAATTAGTCTTCTCCTCTGAAACATGCCCGCTGGACTGCCAGGGCTCTCCCACCAGCGAAAGCCCCAATTTCAGCCTATATTTTCTATAAGGGAACTCGTGTTGCCGCGGATCCGAGAGGAAGCTGCAGTAGCAGCTGTCAGCTCTTATTAACTCCTGCATAAAACATACCTTAAGTATGGTTTGTTATCAATTACTTGCAGAAATGAAACAACTGGGAAAAAGCAGCGAGGCTCCCTATAAATTAAAGTGATTGGGTGATTGATTAGAGCACCTGCTGTAAATCATAACAGTTACACACAATTATGAGCGAGTTATTTAAGTTCATTTGTAAACAAAATTCATGTCACAGGGGAATTGCTCTCAGTTTTAGTTCAACCAATTTTTTTTTGTTTATTTCTGAGTGTGTCTGGTTGCTATTATAGGAATTTGTTCGTTATAATCCCTTGGTTACTCTTAAAATAACCTCACTGGTTTCTCAGAGAAAAGAAAAACTTATTTTTAATATCTTAGAGAGAACAACATGGTTTTATTTTGTTTAGTTTCACTTTATCATTCTCCTTTTACTTTTCCCTATGACTACCTTTAAATACGTGTTGCAGTAACTAAATCAGTTTTATTTAGGGGCAGGAGAGTTCCTTCTAATTCACGGACAGCACAATATGATCAGAGTGGAGAGCACCTCGGTTAGACCAGATATTTTTTTTCCTGGTGTTCATTTTTCTGAAGGAAAAGACTCATTTTATTTCATAAACCAGACTTAATAAAAACACAAAGCAATAACAGAGCTGTCTTCTCATTGCTGTATCCTCCAGCCTTGATACTTATTTAAGACAGCAACTCCCTTTGTGTAGTGAATTTATTCCTGGCTCAGCTTAGCAGTAATGGAAGCATTAGCCAAAAAAAGTAAATTTTCCTCTTTTTTTCCCCTCCAGAAAGGCGCTGTCCGTTGTACAAAAGGCATCGGGGGGCTCTGGGTGAGACACAGGCTCAGACCCGAAAGTTGCCAGGTGCTTGCCAATATGTATTTTATTTCCCAATGATCAAACCCTGCATAGAGGCTGTACTGTACCACCCTTCTCTCCATCCATCATTCATGGAGCACTTTCCTAGAGGTTGGGGGAGCAGCACCCTTTAGGTTGCTGGAGGTAGCCAGAGATTCAAAACTCCCTTTCATTTTGCTGTTCTGTGCATGTCAGAGAGACTGTGCTTACCCTGTGCTCCTTCCTGGCCTGATGGTTTCTCTCTCCCCTCCCTCCCCTTTTCTCTCTCCAGTTCCGGTTCCTCCAAAATCTGTTACTTCTTTGATGATGAATAAAGATGGCTTCCTGGGTGGCATCTCAGTCAACACCGGAGAGGTGTTTTGCTCTGTACCTGGCCGCTTGTCTTTGCTTAGCTCAACTTCAAAGTACAAAGTAACGGTGGGAGAAGTTCAGAGACGCCTTTCCCCTCCAGAGTGTCTGAACGCATCCCTCCTAGGAGGAGTACTTAGAAGGTAAGAGGCTGGGGAAAATCTGGGAATGTGTCTGGGCCTCCCTGCATGCTCCAGAAACCCTTGGTCAACAGTACAGATGATTTCAGATGTTCATTGATCCCACTGTCAGAGCCTGTGTGTGTAATGCTGGTGATAAGGCAAAAATATGCTGTGTTCAAACATTGGGATGAATATATGGAGAGTAGAGAAAGATTTGGCCTTGTTTAGCCACAAATGAAGGAACTGAGACAGAAAGATTTTCTCCTTGTCCTTGCACACACTTTCTATCTCTTTTCTCCTCCTCATACTTCTCTCTCAGAAAGTGGACAAAATAAAATGCCCTGATGGGACATTGTTTCAGGCTGAACTGCAAGTATTTCAGGAGCTGATGTAATTCTAGGGATTTCCTAGATAAACACACGAGGTTTGCTCTGTATGACAGCAACGATCAGGCAATTATGTCAATTATGACAAATGGCGTCACACAAGGAATTGGCAGGGATCTGATAGGCAAACCTGTCTAAAGAAAAGCCACCAACAGGTAGCCCTGAAAGTCAGAAACTTTGTGCTTCACACAGAGAAAGTTGCTGCAGATCACAGCTGGTCTAGAGGCCTTTGCTGCTTAATATTTGTGCAAATCACCCACTAATGTCCTGTTGGATTTTGATGAAGACCTCAAAGTAGTTGGCATTGTTGGCACTGAAGAAAGTGAGGAGCAAGGAATAACCTTGAGGTTGTTGGTTATTGGTGATGGGGGTTGCCACTCTATCATAACGTGTGGGAGACTCAGCTTTTATGTAGAAGCAGCAAGAATTTAAGCTCTGAGGCCATTAGCTGGAAAGGCTAGCAGGGAGAAAGGGCTTTTTCTTCTTGGCAGTGCCTGAGGGACTGTGGATTGTCAGCTCGACCTGTCTGTAGGAAAGGTGAGCTCAGGCTCTGTCTCCAGTCACAACAGGGGAGAAGCCACGAGGTTACAACGTGAGGTACCAGCTCACACACTCAGGCTGCGAGAGTACAAGACTTCATTATCTGTGTGTGAGGGAGACACCAGACTGGAATAAAAATCCTAACTTTTAAACAGGGACAGATGCATGCAAACTGACAATGAATAAACTTCAGACCATGTTTAAAAGTTGCTAATCTTAGAGGAGGAAATATATTGAAAACTCCTATAGCAGCAACTGGGATACGTTGGCTCTAAGGTGCTTTAAAATAAAGTCGATATTTGCGGTTCCCCCCTTGCCCCCGCAAAAAATTCTGTGAGGGTGTCAAAGGCTCTGGGTCTGTGTCTGGAGATGAGGGAGAGAGTTCTGCTACATCTGGTCAGACCCAAATATCCACATGAGAATTGGGGTCTCCTAAAATAGCTGCTGTTCCATGTGAATGTCTGTAATCATTGTTCAGCTGCCAGGGAGAGCAGCAGAGATTTTTACTTACAGATGCAAACCTGCCTGCTCCTTGTGCACAGCTACAAATGGAGCAGGGAGGACATCTGAGAGATGCCCTGTAGAAAATAGAATTACCAAGGTAAAGAAGCATTATTATTGGACTTCAGCAGATTTCTGGACGTGGTCCAAGCCATAATTATTGGCTGCTGCTGACTTCAGTTCCTATCTTGAATCTAAATTTTAAACAAGGTTTTGGTTCAGAGCAGATGAGACGTAGAAAGCTGCTCTCTTGCAATTCTGCCATGCAGCCCCCATTTACTTCGATATAAAATAGTGGGAAGCCAGTCTGGCTTCTCTGTAGTTCCTGATTTCCTTTCTCTAAGTGCGACTTCTAATTCTTAAACAAATTTTAGGTAAGAATTAGGAGAGAGTTGGGATAGATTTTGTTCTTAGGTGCCAAAACTCTCCCTAACTTCGCAGGTGGCAAGATTTCATCCCTGGGGGTTTACATATGTATGGGCGTTCGAACAATAGCTCTGAATTTCTCACTCGCCCTTTTATTGCCCTTATCAGTAACCTCCGACAGATATTCCAATCTTCCCCCCAGGCAATCCATTCCCTCTTTATAGCGCGCCCTGCCTCAGGTGAGCTCTTCCTCTCAGCATCGCCTCCTCGCACAGGAGCACACTCACAGGCGGGAAACAGTTTAATTATAAATATTTCCCTTCTTTTCAATTTATCCACAGGCGCACACACACTCCCTTCGAAATTTCCAGATTTTTTTTTTTTTTTAATTCTCTCGTCTCATTCTGGCTCTTTCCTGGAATAACAGAGGGTTTAATCCTCCTCTACCTTCCTGCCCATCCCTTTACTACATCTTAATACAATCTGGCATCATACCCACTTGCTCTCTAGATTAGAACCTTTCCATTAATTATTGCTGTTTGGCGTTCTTTGATTTCCCTGGATAAAATCGGGAGAAAAGTGGGTTCATCCCCACTTCTACCCCCTGGGTGAAATTAAGAAAATCCCAGCAAACCCGAGCAGAAATCAACACCCCCAGAGTCCTTAACGGGGAGTGAAAACCCTCCCAGGCTTCGCTGACTGCACAGACTAAACGTTTCTTCCAGGAACACTGCGGGGTTAATCACGATGTTAATTTCTTTGCAATTCTAGAGCCAAATCGAAAAACGGGGGGAGATCTTTGCGAGAAAGGCTAGAAAAAATCGGTTTGAATTTACCAGCCGGCAGGCGTAAGGCCGCAAATGTCACTTTACTCACCTCCCTGGTGGAAGGTAAGCCGAGGGTGGCATGTCCCTTCACACCCCTGCTCTGAGCTCCTGCCTGACATTCACAAAAAAACCCCACAAAACAAACCCCAAAAACAAACAAACCATAAACCCAAAACAAACAAGCAAACAAAAAACCTCCCAAAAATCAACAAACCCACTAACTTTTGGGATCAGGTGGGAAAACCCTGCAGAGGTGAAAATCAGGGTGGGTTGGGATGAACACGGTCACGGTTAAGGATCCCATTCCCAAAAACGAAGTCACTGGCTGGAGGATCACTGATTCCTCTTGGTGGCAAGAGTGAGCGAGTGTTTCCATGTGTGTATGTGGATGTGTGCGTGTGCATTTGTGTGCGTGTGTAACTCTGCAGGGCAGTCCCACTCCTCATTCTGTTAATTTCCATTCTGTGATCTCCGACTCCAGATCTCCATCCTCCTGACAATTCGCTCCTCCTGAGCTGATTTATGGCCACTACAGGATGCTCAGTGAGGAAAAATAATGCAAAATTACTTTTATCCCCCTTTTTTGGTAAGAAAGCAGAGAATTTAAGAGTAGCAGAGCTCGATTTCCCTTAAGGTTTGTGGAGCTGAACAAAGACACCAGCTACCCCTCAGGAAGCAGAGAGGGAAAGGCAGACTGAAATTTCAAGTAATTTCAAGTCAGCTAATGACATTTTGGTGGCCAGCGTGTTTCTTTGATTTGTTGTTACTATATCGACAAGGAAAACTTAGAGCCACTAATAAGTTTAGGGTTATGTGCGTGTTTATGCTAAGAGAAGTTGGACTTCCTCCAAAAAAAACCTAACAGGAATAGTATGGATGCAATTATGAATTATATGTATCTGCATTACACACACACACACCGAGAGGCGTATAAATAATCCACTTATCTCTTCTGCGTATAAAGCCAGCGCAAATATTTGTGCTAGATATTAACTTTTCCACTCTTTTGATTGAGTTATGTGAGCGACAAGACCTTGCTGCTTGCAGAGCTGGGGGAAGGCTCGCAAAAAGAGGGGTGGGAGCTCCTCCTCCCCCGGGAGTGCCAGGCTCAGGGTGGGTTACAGGTGTCGCTACAGAATTTGTGAAGCATTTCGGGTGCCCTGTTAGTGCAGCTTCACCCCAAGGTGTGTGTGGAACATCGTGCCCTCTGCTCGCAGCAGCGCCAGCCCCTCCCCGCGGCCGGTGCGAGGTTCAAAAGCCGGTGGGGTTTTGTGCAGCGATGCTAAAATCTGTGTCAAGCGAGCAGCAAGGTGTACATTCACCTCCTCTCCCCTGATTCCTTTACAAACCAACAGTTTGCCTCCAGAGGGTTCCCTCCTTTTGGAAGAGGCTGCACATGATGGAGTTTTATCTCCTTTTTTTCTTTTTTCTTTTTTTTTTCTTTTTTTTATTTTTTTATTTTCCTCCTTGCTGCCAGCAGCCCGGTTTAGCAGAGCTGCTCCTGCATGGCCAGGGACAGCAACAGGAACAGGAATGCTCCGGTCGCTCCCGGCCCTCGGTGCCCGGAGCCTGCCCGGGGGGACCCTGCCCGGCTCGGGATCCCCTCTCCAGGCTCTGCCGGTGCCCTGGCCTTCATTAACTGGTTTGATGATTAGCGAGAGCCATTGGAGAGCAGGAGATGACGTTGGAAAGCAGCTCCCGATGGTTAAAAATAACTCGGTGCTGGAGTTATTAGACATACCTGCTCGCTGGAAATCTTCCCCCTCGTCCCTCGGGCGATGCTTTAAAGGGTTTAACGCTTTATTCTAGAGGGGCTGAGCTATAATCTGGTGGAATCCCTCTAGAGTCTGAGAGGGTTTTTTCCCCCCTCCTCCTCTTTTCCTCCATTCTGCAGCTACTGTCTTCTTCTTGTGGCGTGAAGTACATCAGTAGGAGTTGGATGACACAAATCTCTGTAGGCAAGAAACCTGAAACCAGGCAGGCAGGGAAAGTGAATTAGAATTAGAGTTAGAATAATAATTATTTTGTTCCCAGAAAAAGTTGCCATTAGCTGTTATCTTTCCACCCGGCAGACAAGAGTTCTTGTTGCATGATGGTCAGTTAAAAATGCAGATTTTTAAATTGCCATCAGGCTAAATGCAGTTATCTCCATAATTTTACAGATGTGGCGATAACTGTGATAATGATGCAAGTGCCTTGTGCGTGAATAAATTGTCTATAACGTCCCACAAAGAATTAACATTCATAATATATCCATATCTGTAAGATTTTGGACAATGAGATTTTGAAACAGGAATGGTTTCTCTGCTTTTTAGAGAAGTTTGGGTCCTTAGTTTTTCAGGATTTGAGCAGTTTCCTCTTGCATTTTTCCTTGGTCCAGTTAAAGTTGTGTGTGTGTGTGTGTGGTGTGCGTGTGTGAGCTCTTCCCTCCGTTCTGATGGGTACAGACCCACGCGAGTGCAAAGACAAATCCCACCAGCTCAAAATCTGTCCCGTCGAATTCTGTCCCCAAAATAGGGCTTGTGGGGGAAAAACACAGAACTGGAGCCTGTCCCTGAGGTGAAATGGGAGATGAGAGGATTCCAAACACGGCTCAGAGAAGCCGGTGTCCCCAGGGGAGCCGTGGGTCCGCCCGGTGTCCCCGCGGGTGGGAGCCAGCCCAGCCCGGCCCGGGGTGCCCGAAGGGGTTAATTCCCGTCTCGTTCCCTGCAGGTGAGGCCGTTCATTTAGCTCGGGATTTTGGGTACATCTGTGAAACGGAGTTCCCAGCCAAAGCTGTTTCTGAGTACCTGAACAGACAGCACACGGACCCCAGTGACCTCCACTCCAGGAAAAACATGCTGCTTGCTACAAAGTGAGTGCCAAGCTAACCCTTGTCCTTCTGCCCTTCTCGGGGAAAATCCTCAAACTCTTCCTCTGAGCCCCTTTGGAAAGCAAACGGAATTTCCAGGCTCTAAATTCCAGCAGCCCCTCGGGGAGGAAGGATGCTCAAATCGCCCAAAGGACCTCTGCACCCTTTTGCAGTGGGGATCCTGCCAACAGACCGCACCCCTATACAGATTACAGGGGATACTCCCCCAGATGTTGTGCATCACTTCCAAGCCATCCCCAGTTAAAGAATTTTTATGTAAAGTGGTCCAAAATTTTATAATTTGCTTTCACAGCGTGTTTCTCTGTCCCTGCTGCTGTTCAGACACACCTGTCTGTCTGCTACCAAATTGCAATGCCTTTCCCAAATGATTTAATTAAAAAAAAAAAAAAAAAAAAGGAAAAAAAGAAGAAAAAAAAGAAAAGCCCTCCAAAATGCACTGCTAATGATTCTCGATTTGCCCCCTCCCACCCCATTTCTGTCCCTTGGGACTTCCTCGGTGGGTGTGCTGTATGGGATGATTTACATCAGGCTGTGCCTCCTAGGCTGCTTCATGGTTTGCTCGGGTACTCGGCACTGGGTGCTGAGTGTTCACACATCTTTGTCTGTCAGGAATGAAAAGGGGGCAAAATAAAAAAAAAAAAAAAGAAAATAAAGGAAAATCTCAGCCCAAACAGCTCTCATTTTTTTTCATGCTCTGGGACGTGGCTTGCCTCCTATGACAGTGTAATTTAAAGAAATATATGGAGGGTTGAAAAATCATTTGCTCAAATTTGTCCAGATGTTTCTTAGACGTGATTGGAATTTGATTGCCCTTTTCCGCAGGGTCAGAAGATATTAATGTCCCAGAACTTTAATTGCTCGCAGACCCTGCTTTGCTCTTTGAAGATGTAAAATGTTGGACTCATTACTGTTTGTTCTCCAAATTCAAAGTTTCCTCTCTTGCACTTTCTTAATGGATAATACACATAGAAGTAGACCTTTATCTTTCCTCACCCACTGAAACCTTTAACCCACTGGGAATTTCAGAGAATTTCAGAGGATGAGAGCTGGATGTCTTTTTTAAGGATTTCTTTTCATTTTTTTTTTCCTTTTAATTCTGATCTTTTTTATCTCCAGTCCCTGGGTGGCACCTGTCTTTAAAAAAACCTGAATCCTTTGGGTATCCTCAAAGAAACTATTCCTGTGGGAACCCCACCAGCCTCCAGGGTTTCTGCATTGCCCAGGCACCTGTTGACTTGAAGGTCTTTTGGACCAGAGTGATTTAAAATAAAATGTTTATGTGTGAATTCATTAGAAAAATCGAATCAGATTTTTCAAAAGTGCAGACAAACAACCAGGAGCCAGATGTCAACTCTGATGTGGTAATTGGGGTGTCATGCCCCTAGAATAAAATGTGAAGTGCTTGCTTGGCTTCTCAGGCCATGAATAAGCCAGCATGGAGTCCCAAAATCCTGATTTTTCTCAGTAAGGTGGCCCAGCCTGAGCAGTCTCAGAGGTTCTGTTTTAGTCCTTCCCTGCACCAGGTCCCTGTGGCATCCAATAGCTCTCAGTGCATGGCCGTGCTTTCCTTCAGGAAGAGAATTTCTGGGAGCTGCCTTGAGCCAGGGCCAGTCCTCCAGAAATGGGTGCTTGGCAGATCCAGGGCTCATTTCCCTTTCACCCCAGGCAGGGTTGGGTTTTCACAGTGCTTCAGAACCATCCCTGTGGCTGCTGGAGAGATTTGAATCTCCAGAACTGGTGTTATCCCCTGGAGAGCATCATTCTGAGCAGGGAGCTGCTGGCTCGCCCTGCCTGGTCCAAGAACCTCTGGGGGAAAGGATGGTGGCAAAAAGGTCCCACCCCATGCCTTGGGATCAATTTTAGCTTGGTCCTACCCCTTTGGTTGGATTGTTGGATGAGCCTAACAACATCTCTTCTCTCTCTTTGCCTTTCTCTCTTCCCTGCAGGCAACTTTGTAAAGAATTCACAGATCTCTTGGCGCAGGACAGAACGCCCATTGGGAACAGCCGGCCCACCCCCATTTTGGAACCGGGCATTCAGAGCTGCTTGACTCACTTCAGCCTCATCACCCACGGCTTTGGGGCCCCTGCGATCTGCGCCGCCCTCACGGCCCTCCAAAACTACCTGACTGAAGCTCTCAAAGGCATGGACAAGATGTTCTTGAACAACAACACTGCTAACAGGCACACATCTGGCGAAGGACCAGGTAGTAAAACTGGAGACAAGGAAGAGAAACACAGAAAATGAGAGAGAGAGAGAGAGAAAGAGAGAGAGAGAGAGAGAGAGAGGAAAAAAAATAGAATGAAAGAAAGGAAAAGAGAAAAAAAAAGTTAAATAAATAAAAGGAGAAGAGAGAGAGATAATCTTTTAAAACAAAACCGTCTTAATTTTAGCTTTAAAAATACTGGATTGGGCTTTGGAAGAATTCTATTAGGTAGGACAAAATAATAATAATAATAAAATAAAAATAATAATAATAAAAGAAAGACAATAATTTAAGATCAGAGGAGCACAATGGCGCAAGACAAGTGGTTCAGAGTCTCTTGCCAGGAACATGTGAAGACAACCACCAGGATTTTTTTCCCCACTTCTGTTCTTTCACATTTTTTAAATAATGATTGGGGGGGAGGGGAATATAATAATAATTAATAATAATAATAAAAGAAAGAAATGAATAACTTATTGGAAGAAATTGGAGAAACATTTTTGGTGTCAGTGCTTTGATTTCTTGAGCTGCATGGTCTGTCTTGCTACCATTTTTCTTTTTTTATTTTATTCTTTTTTTGTTTTGAGCAACATCCTGTCTCCACCTAGACTAAAACAATTTTCCAGAGTGTTCCATTCTGAGCAACCCCATGGCCTCATTCCCCTCAGCTCTTCCCACCTCATCTCACCACCCTGGTTCTGTCTAGACTAGGAAAGGAGGGGAGCTCCCAGACCCCTCACCAAGCCATCAACACCAGCTGCCTTTACAGCAGCATGAACTTAACTTTAGGTGCCACCGGAAGGGACGATCAGGGTCGCCGTGGCTCAGCTGAATCTGCCAGCTCTGTTTTTTAAGAACTGTTTTGTGTGGGTTTTTTTCCTGGTCTAGACAGACTCTCTGTTTAGATTGGCAGCGTTTACAGGTGTGTCTGGGTGCGTGTGTGCCTCTGTGTGTGCATCTGTGGATGTGCACACCCGGCTCCCCACGGGGGCACGGGGATCCCGTGTATGTTTGTGGATATATATGTATATATGTGGATATATACATATATATATATATATAAAATATGTGTGCGTAGCCACGCATATTAGTGCATGCAAACATACCTTTGTAATTTAGTAATTCTGTCTTTGATGGTAAAATGCCTTGTCTATAATGGGTTGCAAAAATTTTGGAAGTAAGGTCTGGTACAATGTCAGCGCTATCTGATTTCTTAGTTTTCTGAGATCTCCTCTTTTTCTCTAGGGAGTTTTATATTCCAAACTATGCCAATGTTTCAGTCCTTAATTTCCTTGACTAGTTTGTGTGAGAGAGCTCTTCCCCCATTTTTAAAGAACTGTTAACAACAACAAAAAATGAGTGATATCAGTATGTAATTCTTTCTCAGGAGTATGCACTATTTTATTTTCTTCTGTTTCCTAAAGCTTTGCCCGCTTGGCTTATGAGCTTCTTCAAAGAGGACTAGAGATCCCTACACAATATATCAGGTACAGAGAAAAAAAATCCACAATTCTGATATTCTGATACTTTTTTTATTTTTTGCTTTTTTTGCTTTTTTCAAATCAAAGCCAGTTGTTACTGAATTCTGTAGGTGCACTTCTTTAAAGAAGCTCAAAGGGAATAATTTGAACAAGATAAAAATCTAAGTTGAAATCGAGGTGTACTGTTGCAAAGAGAATAAGAGCTGTGTTGAATGTTACGGCACTTGCTTGGCACTAGGGTTTTGTACCAAGGGAGGAAAGAGTTGCCATGTGAGCCGGCTCCTCGTGATGGGAGTGGGGAGGGTTTGCCAGGGAATATCCTGATTTCTGAGCTCAGTCTGAGGAAATCTGTTTCTCTTAGAAAGTTTTTTTTTAAAAAAAAACAAAAAAAATGTCTTGTGACTCTTGCTTTGGAACAAGTCAGTGTGGTGAGGGGGGCAAAAACTTCTTAACTCCAATGTTTTTCTTGGTGGTTTGGTGTCTGACAGGATGTCTTATGCATATGATTTGGGGTGGTGGGGGTGAAGGGGAAGTCTTGTTTCTTTCCTCTCTCTTTTTTTCTTTTTTCAACATACATTTCTCTGTCTTCTCTGGTAAAAATAACGCTGAAGTGTAAGGATATGAATTTCTGTTTGGATTCTGCCATGTTGGGTAATTGCATGTGTTTCTCAGTGGGGTAGGGCTCGTGCATTAACACATCTTTTGACTTATGTCAGAACTGGGTGTGGGTAAATCTCCTGGAGTCTCTGGCAAAATTCCAGTGGGGTCAGGCCTTCCCCTAGGATCCCTGTGAAAGCTGCAGGACTCTGTCCCACCATCCCAAGCGGGCACACCTGAACTCAAAACAGAGAGAGAGAGAGAGAAACCTTAGCCTTCCTTTCATTTTGAGATACCTTCCAATGTGGATAGTGAGGGAGAAATAATTCTGCAATGTTCTCAGCATCCTTTGATGAAATGTTCTCAAAACAAAAGAGCAAATGATCCTCTTGTCCCCTTTAATGCCCTTGGCTCTCTGAGACATGGTTACAGCTGAGGGCCTGCTCTGCTTTTCAAATCTTCTTGCAGCCAGGTCTCAGCTCTGGTTCTCTGCTTGTGATTTGGGCACACGTGGCAGTAGAAATCCAGGGATGATCCAGCCCCAAGGAGCACTGGCCCCTCCTGACCTGCTCCTTGCTCTTTGGTTCTTCTGGGGCACTGCGGACTCTTCTGTGAGAAAATGGGAGAACTGAGGCAGGCAGCCTTTTCCATGGATTGTTGGGATGAGTTGGAGGCAGGCTTAGACCCTGGCACGTCCCTGCCAGTGGGTTTGGTTGTGGCAGGGATTGTCACATTCCTGTGGATGTCACCAGAGGAGGTGTGGTGGTCAAACCTTGGGTCGCCCACCAGCAGGCTGGGGACCTTCAGATTGAAAAACAGCATCTCCAGTCCTCCAAATCTTACCCCTTGCCGACCACCCCAAAGTTCATCAGGCTGCTGGAAAAGGACAATCCAGGCTCCAATGTAGGGCATGGCCCAGCAGTGAAGCAAAGGAAAGGGAAAGAGGGAATTTGGGGAGGAACAAATGGCCCCACCTGGAAGCACAGCTCCCTTCTCTGCCTGATGGGAATATCCTGTTTATTGGAGCAGAGCACCAAGTGTTGGATGTTCCTTTGACTTCCCCCTGCAAATAGGATTTGTGAGGAGCCTGTGTGTTCAGCCCTTCAGCATCGCCCAGCCCAGTGGGGCTTTTGGGTGTGGGGAGACCCCAAATTATCTCTCAGCCTTCCACATCCCCAGCTGAATGTGCTTTGGGGCCATGGGAACCTGGCCCTGCTGCCCCAGAGCATCCATCTGGAGGCTTTGGGGCCATTTGGGAATGGCCTTTCTTTGTCTTTGGGGAAATGTAGGGAATTCTCCTTTTAACTGCAGAGGACAGTGTCCCACCACCACTGTGCGTTAATGGGGAGAGGAAACTCTTGGAATTTCCTGGGGAAAGACTTATATGTGTGAGGGCCTGATCCTGCTGCTGCTGAAATCTTCCCTAGACACAAGTTTGGTCACCTGGACCATGACCTAAACCTTGAGCAGGTTGAGGGAAGAGCTTCAGTCTGTCCCTTGTGCCTTCTGCCTGGAGGAGACAAACTGCAGTGCTCAGGCAAAATAAATCCAAATTCCCATTGGTTGCAGTGGGATGCCCTCCCCCCACTTGCTCCCCAAAGTGTGGAGACAAAATTCAAGAGGTTTATGGCTTAATGCAATCAGGCAGGGAACAGGAGAGGAACACATCCCTCTGTCCTTCCCCTCAGCCTAGTGCTGGTCCCAGAGGGAATTGTGCATTGCTTGGTGGCTCCTATCAGTGCTGAGTACAGAGGTCTCCCCCAAATTAAACTCAGCCTCCCTCTGGAAGGTATTTTCCTGCTCGCTTCCACTTTCCCAGCCTGACTACTCCTGTTGGCGGGGCACCTCAGACGTTTATCTGATAATTGAGTTATTAAAAGATTTGGTTTCCTCGGGATCATGAATCAATAAACAGGAGGATTAACAAGGCAGCTTTGCTTTGTAACTCAAGGGAAAAGTTTGAGGAGAGATCATGAAAAGTTTGTTTTCAAACCAAACAGGTGGGTTGCTGTAAATTTTATTTCATTCTTAGTCTCACTTCTTCTTTTTTTTTTTTTTTAATACCAATTCTTTATTTGCCTTTGGAAAGATTTTTACTTTCGTACGCTCCCTGACTTTTTTTTTCCTGGTTGTTATTCACACAAGATGTGATGGAAACAAGAAGCCAATTTCATGGGAATCCTTTTACAACCCTATGGTTTCTTTAAAAATCGGGTTGTGTCTTGTCCCACCTAATAGAAATTCTCTGTGAGAAGCTGTTCAAAGTCCCTTTGCGCCCCAGACCAATCTCTCCCCAAATCCCCAGATTTGCATTTGGGGCTGGCAGGGAGCGGGGAAGGATGGTTTTAAGACCTTCAGCTGTGCCCTAAGGGCTTATTCGCTTCTCCTGCTCCTCTCTTTCTGACCGGTTTATCACACAGACCTGTCGGGCTCTGTTTTAATACATTTCTCGGAGAATTTGGTGCTTGTTTCAGCTGCCGTAAGCATTTACCAGATCGACCCAGACAACCTCCCCCTCCCCTCCGGCTTCCCTGTGTGAGAGAGACCGTAGGCTTTTTACAAATAGTATATTTTCTTATACAAAGGGAAAAAAAAAGTAAAAGAAAACATCCCCAAACACACTGGCAAACGCCTGAACATTTCGAGAGAGACGAAACACTGTGTGCCAGCAAGAAATAAAGTAAAAAAAAAAAAGATACCAAACCCGAAACAAACGCAAAGCTATGAAAAAGCGAATGAGAAACTGGAAAGATGAAAGACAAAAATAATAAAAAATTCTCCTTTTATGCCCCAAACAATCCCTTTCACCTCCTCTTCTTGAAAAATCTGACCATGCAGTGAGAAATATCAGTTTATCGACTCTTCCTGAGAAGAAATGCGGAGAGGCATTCAGTATTGAGTTTGTATATATTTATTTATGCTTAATTTAACGGGAATGTGTAAATATGGCGAGCAAGTAGTTTTTGGGTTATTTATCTGTGACTCTATACCTCTGTGAATGGGTGGGGGAATTTAAAAATGAAAAGTATAAAAAAAAAAACCAAACAAAAAAGAAAGAAAAAATAAAACCAACAAAAAAAAATCCCGCTTGACTAGATAGTATCCTACCTGAATCTTTTCTGTTCTTTATAGACAAGCTGTTATGGTAATGGGTAGAAATTGGTTTCTTGTCCAGTGATGACCTGATTTACATAAATAATAAGAATAAGAATAAAAAAAAAAGAGATTGTTGTGTTTTGTTGTATTTTCCTCTTCAGTTTTTTTGAATGTTGGTGCTGCTTCGATTCTGCAGACGGATTTACTTATAATGCCAAGAAGTCTTTATTTTCCCAATCTAGGCTTTGGGGAAATTCAGGACATGTCTCTACATAAAAAAAAAGAAAAAAAAAAAAAAAAAAAAAAGACAATAAATATTGCTTCTCAGAAATGTTGGTATTTTATTTCTGTCTGACTCAAAAGTGTCCA